CCGGTGCTCGTTAGATCATTTCTGTTCAAACCATAGTATTATTACTTAAAACCATATGAAATGTTCATAATTTCACATTTGTGTCTCAATTTTTTTTTTCTTATTCAAAAATTAAAGTAAATTGATTGTGATTATGATTTTTTTTTTTCCAAAATTTTCTTTAAAATATAGCAAAATGACTCATTTGTCCATTATATTTTTGAATAAACAAAAGAGATAATAATGCAAAGATAAGAGTAAATATCTGAACCTTATTTTAAAACAGGTTAATAATATTTTTGGACGAAAATCACGAATGTAATGAAGAAAAAAGTTAATGACACGATTGTAATAATGAATAAAGGTTAACAATCTATATAAAATAGTGTACTTTAAGAAAAAAAAAAACTGGTGTGTGAATATAACCACCTTTTATTAAAATGAATACTTAAGGAATAAATAGAAATGATATGTGGTGAGATAAAATACGTCCACTGCTCATGTCGAATAATGCTTCTTGTATATCACCCCTTATACAAGGGGTGACATAATGGCTAAGTGGCGTCTCCTCATTGGAGGGGTGTCGAGGCCCCACACCCCTAGGAAGACCGGCTCATGGCAGCGATCATGACTACAATTTTTTGGCAATATAACGTTGAATTGTCAAAAAATTATAGATTCCCATTAGTGATGGATTTCCCGAGGAATAAAATTAACTTTTATTTATGATAAGAATAACTTTTTGCAGTTTAGGCAAAACATGTGAAATGAGCTGGATGTTGCTTGCATGGACTGGCGTTGGATAGGCAAGTGGAAGGGGGCGGCTTCGTGTTTTTTGTGCTGGTTAGACTTTTAGAACGCGTTTTAAAAGGTTTCTGTCAAGTTGGTTGGCTTGCCTGCAGTTTCTACATGTCGACAATCATGAGTTGTCAATTCTACCATTAAATGTTAAAAAATATGAAAATAGCTAATTCAGATTTTAATTTAAATTAAGTCAAAATTTTAACAACATATTTTATGTGATTCATAACTTTTTAACCATACATATCATCAAATTTTATCAAAATTTACTAAATAACTCATCAGTTATTTAAACAACGAAAAAGATAATTATGAAAGAGATATTCATTTTTGACCAACGATATCGGTTCGCCACTGAGAACATATTAATAAAATATTGGAGGTATCGCCCTCCTTTAAGCTAAAAAATAAAAAAAAAATCTAAGTATAATCTTTATAGAACAATTTCTCAAGACATAATAATGCATATCACAAACGTGAGGCATTCACCTAGCTGATATGCGAAGAACACGTCATGCCCTACTCAACATTTAAATTTAAGAGTATGTTGAATTCTTGCTTCTAAACCATCATTTAGCCCATGTGAGGGCTCTATTTTTATAAAAATTCATTTTTTTAACACTCATTTTTAACCATAAATTTTTCTATTAAACAATTTTATACGTAAATCGAAAACTTTTCGTTATTTTTTAACTACACATTCTCTAACTTTTTACTATTCCAAAATGCAATTTCTTGAAAAAATGGAGCCCAAACAAGGACTCAATTTGCCCTACTTGACATGAATGAGAAGTCGGAGGGAAAGATTTTTTAGGCAATTCGTTTCTTAAAAAAAAAAATTCTTTATGATAGTAAAATGCTGTATTTTGCTAATATTCGTGGGGAAGATAAGTGTTAGGATGGTATAATTGAAATTACATCCATATCTGCTTTCAACCTATCAATTCAAAAGTAAGGTGTAAAGTTTTTTATTTCAATCACAAACTCTAATTTATTCTTTTCCCCATTCCCCAAGTTACAATCACACTGACATCACCACAATTGCGATGTGTCACCATTGCCCACCTCATCACCACGCCGTCGTCGCCACCATCACGAGGACGACTTAAGTAGCTATGATGCGCTGTTATACTCCTTCGAGGGAAATAGGAAGTATACATTTTATTTTTTCTTTAATATTTTCATCCTCTTGGGATTTAGTAGCTACTCAACTCTCAATGTCGTGCTTTATTAATTGCTTAAAATCTTGGCTTGGTCTTCTTATTTGATATCTCAAAATATTTCTTTTGAAGTCTTTGCTTGGTCATTTGATGTATCAAACTAGGATTAATTTAGTGACATGATTGGTGTACTCGATCAAATCAACTATACTTTCTTTTCTATTCATTTTTTGGTGCTAGCCATCCAGCCGAACAAGACTGGAACTTCCAGCCAGCAGGAAATGTTGAAAGTGCATAGCAATAAATTCCCAGCCATCGAGAGCATCTTTAATAACTCTGTTTATGTTCAAAAATATATTGCATCATGTTCATAAATAAACTACATGTTCACAAGCAAAAGTTAAACACTGCTTCATCTTCAGAAGTATAGATTACAATGTACTGCAAAAAAATTGTCCACTGCTTCATCGTGTCTAATTACAAGCAAAAATTATACAGACGATTGAGACGATTCCGTCTCATCTATGCTCTACAACTTATCCACCAGCACTTCAAAATGAACTTCATCGGTATGAGCAAACGACTGTCCGACTTCATTATTGTGTAAGGTGGCAGCAGGTCCTGATGTAAGACTCCCTGTGTGCGTTTCTCTCGCCACCATGGGGTAAGGCATGAACTGGAAGCCTCGTTCTTCAACTGGATTTTGGGTCGACGATGATCCCTTCCCTCTGGCGGCGACCATTTTGCCCTATAAAACATAAAACAAATCAAAACTCAGCATGAGAAATCGATCCCAATATACGGTTTCAAACATACAGGCGACATGCATATAACTTTGAAGAATGAACAGGCAAAGACATTCAAAACTATCTACAAGTCCTCATCTGTTGATCATCCAATATTCATAACCAATTAAACCAACCTCTTCCAGGTATCTCTCCCTCTCCCTCCTCCAGCATCGTTTAAAGCACAAACAGGGAGAATCTTTTTTTAGGAAGCCATAAACTGATAACGAAGAGAGAAGTAAGGGCAGTGTTCGGTTTAAAAAACCACTAGCCTATTAAACAATTCAAAAAGAAAAAGAAAAAGAGGCTAGGGTTTTATTGATTTTGCAT